GGAGGTGGGGTCCCTAAGGGGAGGATCACTAGGCAGGGGGGGAGCTGAGGTGAGAAGAACCAGAAAAGGGAGGAAGGGGGAAGGGGGCGGCTAAGGGGAGGCTGGACAGGAAGGAATGAAGGGAGGACCAGATAGGGGGAGGAGGGATGCCCAAGGGGAGGACCACCAGGCAGGGGCAGCTGAGGGGGAAGGACATAGCTCAGGGTGAGAGGCCAGACTGGCAGGGCTGAGGGGATGGTCAGGGACTGAAGGACAAAGGCCCAGGTGGGAGCCGGAGTTGAGGTGGTGAGGTGATGGGAGAAAGTTCTGGCCAGCGGAGCCAATGGAGAAGAAAGGCGGTGGTGCTGCAGGGAAGCTCGCTGGACCAGGAGGTGGCCGGGATGGAGCCCCAGGGGCTGGGCAGGGCCGGGCGGGGCGGGCTGGACTACACGCGAGCGCCCTGGGGCGGGGGAGGGGGAGGGGGAGGGGCTTCTGCAGTAGAGAGCAGTAGAGAGCGCGGAAGCGGCGGGTCCTCCGGGCTCGCACGAGAGGCCTCATGTGTGCCCCTGGAGCAGTCGAATGGTGGTGGCCTAGAGTGGCTCCAGGTGGTAGCGCAGGGAGCAGTGGAGTTCGGGCTGCCGCTGGGACCGTGAGCGGGCTAGAGAGGTCCGGGCTGGGCCTCCGGGAGGAGTGGAGCTGCTGAGGAAGGGCTCCAGGGGGCGCCTAGAGCGGCTCCACCGAGGGAGGGGAGGAGGCTGGGGCGCCGGGGAGCAGGACGGACAGGACGAGGCTGCTGAACAGGTGAGGGTGCCCCCCCCCAGCCCCGCCCTTTAGGCACTGGGATCCTTTACCCATCCAACCCCCATCCCGACCCTGTAGACACCCCCACCGCACAGCTCCCTGGACCCTGCAGACACTGCCCCACCCAGCACAGTCCCTGGACCCCGTAGACACCCCGACTACATAGGTTCCGTGGACCCTGTAGACACGCCCCACCCTGTACAATCCCTGGACCCTACAGATCCCCCCACCCCATATGATGCCTGTAGACCCCTGGACCCAGTAGATACTTCTGGACCTTGCAGACACGCCCCACCCTGCACAGTCCCTGGACCCTCTTT